CACAGATAAAACATAGAAAACGAATTAGTAAAATTTAAATCCTGCTCAGAACCGCTTAGTAGCGTCTCCAACACCTCCTCATCATGTGAGTATTACCTTGATACCTGAGAGACAAAATTACCACAAGGAAAGAAAACTATAGACCAATCTCTTACGAAAAAAAAAATGCTAGGAATTCAGCCAAGCAACAAATAAAAAACATTATAAATCATGCCAACTAATAATTTATTCCAGATATGCAAGTCTGGTTTAATACCTGAAAATCAATTACATAATATGCTATATGAGTATAAAATCATACAATAATCTCAACAGAGAAAAGCACTTGACAAACTCATCAACTTTCATAATAAAACTCAACAAACAAAATTCATCAACTTGAAAAACCACATTCATGAAAAACCTACAGCTGACATCTCTCACAATAGTGAAAAACAAGGTTTTCCCTGTGAAGAATTCAATATTACATCAGCTGTTCTAAGTGGGGCAATTAAGTAAAAAAAAAAAAAAAAAAAAAAAAAAAAAAAATACAGAGCTACTGAAAGTTAATAAAAATAAATTCATACAAAAAAAAAAAAATCCCATAGGTGGGTGTGATGGCACATGCCTGTAAACTCCCAGCACTCAGGAGGCTGAGGCAGGAGACTGTTGCAAGTTTGAAATCAGCCTGGGCTACAAAGTGAGCTCAAGGCAAGCCTAGTCTTGCATAGCAAAACCTGTCTCAAAAAGACAAAAATAAAATAAAGCAAAACATATGTTTGGTTATTCTAAGTTTTTACACCTGTTGGTTTGGTTAGGCTAAATATCTGTTCCTTTTAAACCTCTATGTTGCTCCAAAAGAGGCTATGATGCTGACTTGAAATCATCACTCCCTCAACAACAGCTGAAGGACAATAAACAGTGAATTAACAATGCTTTCAGGACAAGAGGAAATACAAAAGCTGTCAAAATCAAAATGGAGTATATAATAAAAAACCATAATGGAGTTAAATTCAATCCTAATGAGTCAAGCTCAATCCTACCAAAAGATAAAGAGGTTAAAAAACAAGTGTTCTTGCATATAAATGCCTGATGGTAACTATCATAAAGGGTATTATCTGGTTCTGGCTTTCAAATTCTTCTTAATAAAAATAGCTACTAATGATTCCCCTCCTCCCCCTTTTTGAGACAGGGTCTTGTTCAGGCTGGCCTTGAGCTCACTTTGGAGCCCAGACTGGTCTTGAATTTGCAAGGATCTTCCTGTTTCAGCCTCCTGGGATTGCAAGTGTGCACCACCATGCCCAGCTAATGATTATTCTTAAATAATTCTTTTAGGTCCATGTTTGTATAACTGTGTTCTCCAGTCTATTTCTTTCAGAACCCCACAGTTCTCAATGATAAGCCTAAATCTACTACTAATGCCTAAACCTACTACAAAACTTACTTAGATCTCATCAGCCAGCATGATAATTAACTGTGCTATCAACAGAAGAAAACACCGGAAAATTGGTTTAGCACACTTCTAAATGTGTCTGGATGGCTGACTTGTTGAAGACCCAGCAGCCTTCAGCATCATCGTCTGTGGATGCCCATCTCCAGCAGACTCCAGCCTGTCAGCACAGACCTGTTGGCTTCCTGATACAGACCCGCATGAGACTTTGCAGTGTGCTCCTGGCCTTCAACTTTTGTCTGGATCCTTTAGTTCTTTGGCACACAACCTTTTTGCAGTTTTACACCCTTGACCTTACATGTGGCCACTGTACACCTACCTTATAAATTCTTTATACACCTCATATATACATACATACATACTAAAGATATTCCTGTAGTGATCCACCCAGTTTAAAACTCAACTCTAAGCTGAACTGTAACCCTAATTTTGATGATCAGCAAAGTAAAAAGATGACCCTAACAATGTCCCCAACTCACCTTAAAGAATTACAGGTAAGACCACTCTGTTTCTTGTCAATGATGTAACTTTTACTGATTCAAGGAAAAATATGGTGACAAGAGGGTTAAGTCTCAACATCCAAATTTCACTGATTACATACTTCTGCCCAGAACATTCTGAACAGTTATAAAATACTACACTATGAGGACTAAAAACAGCATAATATAAAAGAAAATATAAAGCCCATCTTTTTTACAATTTGGAAAGTAGAAGTCACCATCAGAGCCCCACAACTTGGTGGTAACAGGGGGTGACCACAAGGATACACTTGATCCTCAGGAAGAGAATCCTAAAATACTATTGTGGAGCAAAGGCTAGCGCCTTTGCAGGGTGGAGAGTTGGGGGGTGGTCAGTTTTTGTTTTTGAGCCAGTCATACTAAGTAGTCCAGGTTGGCCTTGAACTCACTAGGTAGTCCAAGCTTCGAGCCCCTGGAGCACAGAGCCACTTAGCTCCCTTATGAAGCTGCTACAGGGAGACAGGGTCCAGCACTGAGAGGACATGGCCAAGTGCCCCAGGGCTATGGAGAAAGAGGTGGAAAACTTTACAGAGGAAAAGGAGAAATGCCGCCATTAATATTTTCAGAAAGATAAGGAGGCTTGCTTTCAACATACTCATTTAATTTCTGAATCTTTTCAAAGTCCCACAGTAACTTGGGTAATGTTCCCTGAGATCTCTACAACTGTCTTGCTACCAATATAAAGTTATCATAACTAAAATTGAAATAATAATAGTAATAATAATAATAAAGAACGCTCTGACCCTGAGCTAAAGGGACAAACTCGTAATAAATTCTCCTCTGAGTCTCCCCCAAGTCATGCAGGGCCTGTGAATAACCCAGGGTTTACCTGATGGCAGCAGGTAAACCAATCTCTTCTTTTGGACATGAAAGCAACACACTTAGTCCTCTCTTCTGTCTTTATTACAGGAGTTGATGGCCTTATCTTCAAACTGCTCTGTACTAAGCCTCTGCCTTGCACCCTAGGAACAGTTTTCCTGCATTCCTTTCTAGTACACTCAACCTGTTCCACCCCATTAGTGGGACAAGACACACTTTCTTTCAAATTCATATTCACCACTACTCACCTCCCAGAGCTGCCACCTTAGCTACTCTTTTCCTTACCTTTTTCCCTCCACCTCATACCACACAAGCTGGTCAACACCCTAACAAGGTCCTAAGTTTCCTAATAATATTAATAATTATAATTATAATAATAATAAGGTCCTAATAAATTTCCGAATAAGGTCAAGGTAATCCTCAAAGACCCCACCTCTTTTACTAAAAGATACAATAGCCCTTAACCCACAGGCTATATAAGGACACCAAGTGACCATCTCCAAACTCCTCTCCAACAGACATTTTTGGAAGAAGCAGAGTCTCACTATGTAGTTCAGACTGTGCTTGAACTCACTATGCAGCCCACACTGGCCTCAAATTTGCAGCAGTATTTCTGCCTCAGCCTCACAAGTGCTGGAATTACAGGCATGCACTACCACAGCCACCTATACTAGACTTCTTAAACACGTCAGTTCTCCTTACTGTAGAAGACTACATTGGCACTTCTTGAATGCAGAACAACTGCTGCAACATTAGTTAAATGACAGGGTCTACCTCGAAACGCGCAACCCCTACAACCAAAATGGCAGGAGCCCTATATGGTTATCCTTATGGCAACAGTTGCAAAACTTCTGGGTCTTCCCTTTTGGATTCACATCTCCAGACTAAAATTTGTCTCTGGAAAAAATCCAAACCCATATGTTCCTCAGAGTAGAAACCCCAGCTCCTCACTTGGCCTCAAGGCCATCCCAGAAAAAACAAATCAACATTATCAAATGCACAAACTATAACCCACCCCAAGATCAGTCCAGTCCCCTACAGTTCTATGACCTTATTCTGATTATCCTTAGGAAGTACCAACCTCTTTTGTCCACAAAACAGGAACTCCTTTCCCTTTTGTGAGACTGTTACCTACAGTTTTTTCTTCTGGTAACTCCTCAGCCTGACTAGTTGCCAGTTTGTACTTTAGGTTTCAATTTATTTACCCCTCTTCTTTATAACCTTCCTCTCCTTTTTCTTGGTAAAATCAATGCCTATAAAAGGTTTACTTCTAGTCCAAAATTTAGAATATCCCCAGTCTCACCTTTAACTTTTTAAAAAGGACAAATCCTTTCCTCGCCCAGATTGCTGTCTTTGCCTGTCTCTACCATTTTAGGATTATATCACAATTCCCACATCCAAACCAGACTGAAAAAACACATAGGGAATTTGCTCTACAAAACAAACCTGGCCTTCAAAAATCAGGGCAACACCCTCCTTAACAAGCCTTAGGATATAAAGCCACTAAACTGTCAGACAAATCCCACTAACTTCTCTAAATTCCCTACAGTGCACCACCCAATTATTGATTCCATAACACTTAACACTCCTTTCCTATGTCAAGTCGTCTTTTGTACTTACTGTAAGCCAAACTGAACAGCTCACAAGACTATTGATCTCATCAGGTCAATTACTACACCTCACCTGAGACAAATGCAAGTTCACCCACATCAAGCATGGGAGCGCACACCTGTAATGTCAGCCACTTGGGAAGCTAAGGCACGAGGATCACTGTGAGTTCGAGGCCAGCCTGGGCCATAAGTAAGTTTTAAGCCACCCTGAACTGCATACCAAAACCCTGTCTCAAAAAGTCTAACAGAAAGACAGAAAAACAAAGAAAAGTTCATCCAACCTGCTTATGTCCCCGTCTATGGACTACCCATCTCAATCTCTTCCCTAGGCCTAATTACTCATAAGCCCTCTAAACTCTAACCTAAGAACATTCCCCAACCTGCTATTAATTATTCACTATATACATGATTAATAAAGAAATGTAGTGTAAGACCAAAAAAAAAAAAAAAAAAAAAACAGGAAAAAGTACTCCTGAGTATGCCTCTATCACAGGTCCCATAAAATAGACCTTATGAAGATCTTACTCTTGGTAGACAATCCAACTTATGGATAAATTAAACTTGCTAAACTCATAGTAACATTTTTCTTGATTTTACTTTAATTAAAAGTCTTAGGATACTAGACATTGTTTCCTGCATGGCTTATCTTCTCAGTCACTATATACAGAACTCAGAGAAGTGACAGTAATATGCAGGTGCAGACACAAAGCCCAGTTTCACCTAAAACGTTTTGCAAAGGGATTGGAAACCACAGAGCAGAGCTCTAGGCTTCTCTATGCTACTTGGACATAGCCTGGCACTACTGACCTCCCCAGATTATCCATGTTAGAAAACTAACATTTCCAAGAGAAGGATAATCTGAGAAGTTAGTCTCGAGTTTTCCTTTACTATTTTGTTTAACAATCCCACATGTAAATATACTAACAAAAAAAATTACAACTGCAAAATTGGCATATTGGGGGAGTATAGTTCAGTAGCAGGGTATTTGCCCAGAACATACAAGGTCCTACATTTGACTCCCACGAGGGAGGGAGAGAAAGGGAAGGGGGGAGAAGGAGATGAAGAGGGGGAGAGGGAAAGGGAGACAGGAAGAGAGAAAGAGGGAAGAGGGGAAGGGGGAGGGAGAGAAAGCAAAATTAAAAGTAGGATGTGAAATACTGGGCAAGATAAATGTGTAACTCGTACATGTTAGATACTACTTTCGTAATATTTAATGATATAGAAGACACCACTTTAGTAATATTTAGAAATTAAAGTTAGATACCCCTTTAGTAGTATTTAATGAGGTAAAATATTTAATGAGATGGGTATCTTACTAAAAGGTATAGATACAGCTCAGCGGCACACCTGCCTCACATGCCTCACCTGCCTCAGGAGGTCATGAGTTCAATCCTTGGCACCAAAAAAAAGGAAAAGAAAAGAAAGTCTTAGAGATCTGTGAAACAATAGCAAAGAACCAACGGTTGTCATGACGTCCTGGAAGATATGAGATATACTGTTTATTATTATAGACAGCTAAGCTAGATAGAAATTCATATGCAGTCAGAAAAGGATTAGTTCTTACACCAATAGTGAAAGATGGTGTAAGATGAGACACACCAAGATTGTGTTTGGGGGCGAATCTAAAGAGAGGCAGACCTAAGATGGAGACACAACAGCCAAGCCTGCAAGCCTCTCTAGAGGTAAACAGCAGTCTGAAATCAGACTGTAATTAGCACCATCTGGTCCAATGAGTCCACTAAGCATCAGACCATAGGTGAGTGACCAGGACATCCAGATTCATACTCACATCCCTTTCCAGGAATGCCTTTGTTGTTCTGTTACTCCTTTCCCTATTGGATGAGCATTAGCTAAGCAACTGTGTAATCCTATAGGCTGAGTGTGATTTGACTTACACTGTACACATTTCGTGATTTTTCTGTATAAATTACCCTTAGCAAAAAAACCTTACTTCCTCAGGACTCCTCCAGGAGCTAGTCCTCTTATTTCCAATAAAACTCTTCTAACTTCCTTTGGTTTGTGCCTTTATTCTTTGATGTCGTGAGACCATGAATTTCAGTATAGGGATGAGTTATTTCCCACCTCCCCATAATAGTACATGCACACGATAAAAAAAAAAAAAAAAAAACTTTGAAAAGCTACTAGCTAGAGGGGCCAGGGATATAGCTCAGCAGCACAGAACCTGCCTGGCAAGCACGGGAGTTCTGAGTTTGATTCTAGTATCCACATACACACAAAAGCTACTCACTGAAAATCCCCCAAATTTAGGAAAATATGAATCTGCAAACTCAAAAAGTTCACAAATGCCAAATAAAATCCAGAGTCATGCACAGACTCACCATAATCAAACTGCTGAAAAACAGAAAACTCAAAATTTTAAAATATTAGACAGCTTGGATGTGGTGAGGCATGCCTATAATCGTATCACTCTGGGAGGCTCACACAGGACTACACAAAGTTTAAGCCCAGCATGGGCAACTTAGTGACTTACCAGGTAAATATGTTAAAAAGGGATTGGGATGAAGCTCAGTGCAAAGGCACCGGGTCCAGCCCCCAATAATCCCCCTCGATCCCCAAAAAGAGGTTTGTCACAAAGGCATAGCCCTGTAATTCTAGCTTCTTTTGGGCTAAATCAGAAGGATTACAAGATTGGTTCCAGACCAGCATGGGCTGGGATGTAGCTTATGGTTTCTAAGGGCAAAAACATATATATTCCCAGCTCCACAGTACAGCACACTTCCCTCTCTTGAGGCTTATGTTCTATTTCTTTGAGTGCTTACTTTTAAATTATTATCCCATTATGTCTCTTAAAAAATACTAATCAGAAGAAAGCTGAAGAGGCTATATTAATAGGGCAACAATATCAGTGACATCACAGTATATTGCAATGAAAAAAGGGTGAATTTACCAAGACAATGTAATGATCCTAATTGTGAATACAGTTTGTAATAATTTCAAAATATATGATGCAAAAAAAAAATTTTTTTTTTGGTCTTTTTTTCATTTTTTTTCGGTACCGAGGATCGAACTCACGACTGCCTGCTTGCAAAGCAGGTACTTTTATGCCGCTGAACTAAATCCCCAGCCCCGATGCAAAAAAATTTACAAATACAATTGTAGCCAGACACATCAACATGTCTTTCTTAGAAACTGATCAATCTTGCACACAAAACATCAGTAAGGACATGGAAGAACTGCTCACACCTACCAAATGCGTTTCACTGATATTTATATGATACTCTATTCAACATTAAAGTACACAAGCAACACTGATTGATTAATGTAGATCATGTTGGAAGTTAACAAATCACACAAAACAAATCAACAAGAATGGTTTTCCTATAGTACTCATTAAGCCAAGACAAAAAGACTTGGGTCTGAGGCTAGCCTGTGCTATATGGCAAGTTCAAAGCTGGCCTGGACTATATACTGAGACTTTGTCTCAAAAAGCAAACAAAAAAAGAAACAGACTAAAAACGAACCCCTGTGTGTTAGTTACTTTTCTCTGACTGCTAAGATAAAATACCTAATATCCAAAATAAAGGAAGGAAAGGTTTATTCATTTAGCTCACAGTATGTGGAGGTTTTAGTCCATAATCTGCTGGGTCCAAGGCAGGGTGGTGTAGCAAAGGGCAACAGTTCATGGTGATAGAAGACAGCAAAAGTAACAAGAGCATAAAGGGAGATAATTTTCTGTCCCTTATATTGTACGTAGGCTACCCACCCTAAGGTGGACATAGCACTCATACTAATAATCCCAGCATTGGACCATCAATCAATCATAAATTCTAGAAGCCTGCTCCCATGACCATAAGAAGCTGTGGGGGGACATCCAGACACAAACCATAATACCCCAGCTGGGTATGTAGTGCAGTGACAGGGTCTTGGTGCATACCTGTAATCCCAACTCTCCAGAGGCTGAAGGAGGAAGATGCCCAAGAGTGCAAGAGTTCAAGGCAAGCCTGGACTACACAACGAGTTCAAGGTCAGCCTGAACTACATAGTGAGACCCTGTTTCAAAAATAAAAACAAAAAGAATAAAGCAGATAGGGCAAATTAAACCAGTGAAGCAAGTGGGCAGAGAAAGTGAGCGTGACCAGTCATGGAGATTCAGGAATGTACCAGGAAACAGTCCCCAAAAGACTGCTATCTTCAGTTCTCAGAACTCAAGCAAGTTTTTGATAGGAAGACCTCATATCAAGCCTGAGTGGGAGATATTAATCTCCTAGCCACTGTGTTCTCTCACTGACAGCGGAATGCTCAAAATGTACTGCACTTCTTTGCCTACTCTTAAATGGCCCACACCCACTATGCAGAGCATTTTTCTTACCGCTAATAAATGTAAAGCCTATCTTTTCCACTTGTCTTGACCAACTCTTTATTCAGGACAAGAACAGAGTCTCTAAAAGGAGTCCCCAGTACCCCAAAACCCAATTATCAATAGAGTACTTGCCTACAATGTACCAAGCCCTGGGTTTGACCCCTAACACTGAAAAAAAATTTTTTTTACCCCTAATGGAATTATTGTCAAGAATTATTATTCTCTTGGAGGTTCTCACTGGAGGTTTAGCTCAGCAGCACTGTGTCTGCTTGGCAAAAGCAAGGCCCTGAGTTCGACACCCAATACCAAAAAAAAAAAAGAATTATTATTCTCATCACAAGATTAATAAAAATCTGCCATTAGGTTTTGGGGTTTTGGTTTGTTTGAGACAGGGTCGAGCTATAGTTCATGCTGGCCTTAAAACTATTAGCCCAAGTGGGCCTCCAACTCAGTGATCTCCCTGCCTCAGCTTCATGAGTTCTGGAATTACAGGCACACACCACCACACTTGATTTGGAAATTAAACATGAATTTATAAAATAAATAATCCAATTTTAAAGAGCCTCAATTTTTTTAAAAAGGACTCAACTGAAAGTATGTGAAGATACAAACCAAGTACAGTGGTACACACCTAGAATCTCAGCCACTTGGGAAACTGACAGAGGGTTGAACATTTGGCACCAGCCTGGACAACTTAGCAAATCCCTCTCGCAAACTAAATTAAATCAAATCAAATGAGCAGAGGAGGGGCCTGGAAATGAAGTTCATTGTTAGCAAACCTAGGTTAGATCTCCAGTACTGGCAAGAGGGAGGGAAAAATTGGTGGAATATAGCCAAAGATGTGTTTAGGTGGATACTAACAACACTAAGACTTATAAAAAGCCTCCAATTAGTTAAACAAGGTTAACCTTAAGGTTAAACATTTAACCTTAAGGAGCCAGAAACTGAGGAAAATTAACCAACAGCAAGCGGGAAAAAAACAACAAAAAAATGAGAATTAATGCAACTTAAAGAGGGGAAAAAAAAAAAAAGAGAAAATGCTGATTTACTCAAAAAACAGAAAACTGGATTGATCTCTCTCTCTGTCTCTCTCTCATAAACACACAAACACAAGAAAAATCACATTATCAAGGATAGGATTGAAAAAGGAGGTATCAACACAGATTCTACATATACACTTTAAAGGTGGTATTAACTCAAATTTATATCCTCAAATTCAATGAGACAAAACGGACAGATCCCTTAGAAAAACTTGAGTAAAAACAACACAAAGAAAAAGAAAACTGCAGTGACAAAAATTGAACCTAAAATTTAAAAACCATTTCAAAAAAAAAAAAAATCCAGGCACAGCTGGACATGGTGGCACACCTATAATCCTACCTATTTAGAATTCTGAGGCCGAAGAATTACAGACAACTTCAGCTTGGGAAACACAGCCAAAACCCTGTCTCAAGAAATAAGATAACAGGGACTAGGGGTATAGCTCAGTGCCATATTCGTTGGCTAGAATGCATCAAGGACTTGAGTCCGATCCCCAGTACCACAAAAAAGGGGAAAAAATGTTTTTGGCTTCTCTGGTAAATTCTATCAGACTATCAAACATATAAGGAAAATCAGTATTAAATACATGAAACCCCCACACACATCTCATAAGCCTGCTATTAAAGTAAATGAAAATTTATTTTCTTTCTTTTGTTTTTTTAGACAGGGTCTTGCTGTGTAGTTCAGGCTGATACTGAACACACTATGTAGTCTAGGCTGGCCTTAAACTTGCAGTGATCCTTCTGACTCAGTCTCTTAAGTGCTGGTATTATAGGCACATGCAACCATGCCTGGGCATGAAAATCTCTAAACAACCTAGTACACAATGCCACACAGCCACAGCAAGCACCATACAAACCTTTTTCAAATTTCAAAAAAGAAAAGTAATTTCAGCCACCAGAATTTTTTTTTTTTTTTTTTTTGTCTTTTTCATTTTTATCGGTACCGGGGATCGAACTCACGACCACCTGCTTGCAAGGCAGGTGCTTATGCCGCTGAGCTAAATCCCCAGCCCCCAGCCACCAGAATTTAAAAAAAAACTTACATTGGGTATACACTAGTATCCCTAGTTACTTGAAAGGCTGAGACAGGAGAAGCCCAACCAAGTTTAAGGTCAACCTATGCAACCTAGAAAGACCTGGTCTCAAAATAAAAAGATCTGGGGATATAGCTTAGCACTAGACCGTGAGTTTAATTCCCAGCACCACCACAACAATGACAACAGACTTTTTCCATTTGCTTGTTTGTTTAGGTTCTTCTTGACACATGGTCTCACTATGTACCCCAGGATGGCTCTGAATTTGTGATCATCCTCCCTCAGCCTCTCAAGTGCTGGAATTCCAGATATGCACCACCATACCCAGTTCCCATGTCTTTTAGATTAAAATTAAATGTTGCTATATGTTTCTGTATGTTTTTACTCCTGCCTTTTGCTGGGGGGGGGGGCAGTGACAGGAGCTCAAGCATGCTGGGCAAGCCCTCTATCACTTAGCAATATACCTAGCCCTAACATTTCTGGTTAACCTGTTTTCAGCCTCAGCAGAGGACTTCAATTCTTTTTTTTCTTTTTAGTGACTGAACCAGGGCCAAAAGCATGGAATGACAAGAGCGCTACCACTAAGCCACATCCCTGGCCTTAACTACTTAAGTACCAGTGTTCCTTTCATATTGCCTAGTAAAACTGTAACTCATAATTTTATGTTAATTAATTTGTAATAATATGAAGATATTTAAGTAAAATATAACACTTTAAAAATTATACATAATCTACTTTTTTAGATTTAAGGATTGGAAAATAATTTACTGCACTATTTGGATTTTCAACTCTCCAAGAGGTTACTATCTACAAAAAAAAAAAAAAACGCATCACTAATGACAATGACATGAGCCTATAAAACAATTACAAACAGGCCCTAATTACCAACATATGAAATAAATGAGCCTTCAAACTACTTCAATACATAAGAGTGACTTATTTTGGAATTTGGACCTGTGTTTCCAAAGCTAACATACAGTGTATCATGTATGAGTAGGAATATTAATTTTAGGGAAAACAATCTAAAAGTTAAAGAAATTCTAAGCCAAGATGGTAGCACACATCTGTAATCCCAGCATTCAAGAAGCTGAGGCAGGAGGATTGCGAGTTTGAGGGCAGCCTAGACCACATATTGAGTTCAAGGCCAACCTGAACTACCTAGCAAGACAACACCTCAAAAAACAAGATAGATTGATTAATTGATCTGGGGATGATGGCAATTGTGAGCCCCTGAGTTCAAATCCTACTAATAGGGGGGAAAAAAGTTTTCCCCTAGCTTCAGGGTCTGTAGCTCCAAAAGTATGAAGAGAAAAGGGAGACAACAGAGTTGGTAATAGCTCAAGAGACATTCTGCAATACATATAAAAACTCTTGTTTTTCTGAACATCTTTCCTACAAAATATACAACATGCACAGATTCAGGTAGGTCTACTGTAGTCGCAAAATTGCAACATACAGGGGGAATACCCAGATGATGGAGTGGTAAGGAGCAAAGAAAAGGCCTGAGAGTCTGCTGTCCATACACTGAAATACAGCTATGTGAGGAAGACAAGGAGAAAGTGGATCCCTAGGACCCAAGAATCTGAAACGCTAATTGAAGCTCATAGAGAGAGTAAAGAGATAAACTTCAACACACCCAGCGGCACCTTCTCCAAGACAAGACTCACTGGGCTAGAGGAGCACTTCAAATCTGTAGAAACACGGTAAAAACTAGCAACCCCTGAGGCCTCCACAGAGAGAACTGAGTGGATGGGGAGCAGTGGACATGAAGGACTGCACCAGCTGGTGGCAAATGCTGAGGCTCAACCTCTTGGGCCACAGCACGATTGATAGGGAGCCATCTAGGAGAGGAGCCCACTAAGCTCAGAACCCAGACTACCTGCTGGCTCCACCTATCAGCTCCAAACTAGGCCAGAAAGTGCAGGCTCGTTGAGATTAGCCACTATCCTGCCAAAAAGCTACTGCTGGCTTGCTGGGGTAGGCATGGATCAGGACTGTCTTCAAATGTGTCTGCCAGTGACAGCAGAGCCAAAACTGGAGTGTTTGTTTGTTTCTCTCTCCCTTGCTTGTTTTGCTGTTGTTGTAGTTTTGTTTTTGCTTTTCTCTCCACTGTTTGTTCTTGTTTTTATATGTGAATATGGTTGCTAGTCTCTTTGTGGTTCTTCTGTTGTTATCTTTTCCTTCTCTCTTTCCTGCCAGTCTTCTGCACTAGTTTCCCAAAGTTAACATGATCCCCTTTGTCCTCCAACCTTATTTCTAATCCTTTCTTCTTCCACTTCTATTTTCTCCTTAACCCATTTTAAATTTTAACCCTGACTGTATAATGAATATAATTTTCTGGCTTGTTTTAGATTATTATATAGTCACCAATCTACTTCACCTGGTTAAAAGTAACTAATGATTAGCTCGGTTTGTCATATTCTAGGCTTTGTTTGATGTTAAAAGTGATATAGTTGTTCTAAACAACTCTTCTTCTTGGTAAGCCACGAATGAGACTGACTACAAGTGACGGAAAATACTGTGACACAGTGCCAAACATCCAGGGCCTGGTAAACAAGCAGCAACTTCTCATCCCTAACAAAGATGCTACTAGGACCTTCCAACATACTCAAA